CTCTCTCTCTCTCTCTCTCTCTCTCTCTCTCTCTCTCTCTCTCTCTCTCTCCTCTCTTTTTCTCTCCCTCTTCTCCCTCTTTTGCCCCTTCTCTCTCTCTCTCTCTCTCTCTCTCTCTCCCTCTCTCTTCATTTTCTCTCTCTCTCTCTTTCCCTCTCTCCCTCTCTCCCCCTCTCCCCCTCTCTCTCTCACTCTCTCCCTCTGAGAGTATAATGTAAGAAGGAAATAACACTTCATTTACGACAGTCAAAAAGCCTTGACCTACTTCGGCCTCTTACAAAAACTCTCACCAGACGTCAGCATTCATTTACATGACGAGCCGTTAATTCATCTCACATCTGTCCTGGGCTGTCTCCCACACATATCTGTCTGTCTATCTGTCTGTCTGACATACATGTCTGTCCGTCTGTCGGTCACACTTGTCTGTCTGTCTGTCTGTCTGTCTGTCTGTCTGTCTGTCTGACTGTCTGTCTGTCATTTACATGGCGAGCCGTTAATTCATCTCACATCTGTCCAGGGCTGTCTCCCACACATATCTGTCTGTCTATCTGTCTGTCTGACATACATGTCTGTCTGTCTGTCGGTCACACCTGTCTGTCTGTCTGTCATTTACATGACGAGCCGTTAATTCATCTCACATCTGTCCTGGGCTGTCTCCCACACATGTCTGTCTGTGTCTAGTGTCTATCTGTCTGGCTGACATACATGTCTGTCTGTCTGTCGGTCACACCTGTCTGTCTGTCTGTCTATCTGTCATTTACGTGACGAGCCGTTAATTCATCTCACATCTGTCCTGGGCTGTCTCCCAAATCTGTCTGTCTGTCTGTCTGTCTGTCTGTCTGACACACATGTCTGTCTGTCTGTATGTATGACACACATGTCTGTCTTTTTGTCTGTCTGTCTGTCTGACACACATGTCTGTCTGTCTGTCTGTATGTCTGACACACATGTCTGTCAGTCTGTCTGTCTCACACACATGTCTGTCTGTCTGTCGGTCACACCTGTCTGTCTGTCTGTCTGTCATTTACATGACAAGTCGTTAATTCATCTCACATCTGTCCTGGGCTGTCTCCCACACCTATATGTCTGTCTGACACACATGTCTGTCGGTATGTCTGTCTGTCTGACACACCTGTCTGTCTGTGTGACACACCTGTCTGTCGGTCTTCAACACTTGTCTGTCTGTCTGTCTGTCTGTCACACCTGTCTGTCTGTCTGTCTGACACACCTGTCTGTCTGTCTGTCTGTCTGTCTCCCACATCTGTCGCCAATCACCCACGTGACAAATCAACGAACATAAACGAAACAGAACAATGCTATTCCTATTAGGACTACTGTATTACCTGTAAGTTATGGTATTAAAGTCAGAAAACAAAAACAGTATCATCAGTAACCTAATAATTAAAAGCTATGCTTAAACTTAAAACAGCAACAACAACAATGACAACAACATATTAATCTTTGCTCACCTGTAATCTTGTAATAGCTTTTTTTTTTTTAAATCCAAGTACAAAACGGCGTAACTTATCCTCTGTGACTTTTAGTCTTATGTAGATCTATGCAAATTAGATACTATCTACAACTTTTCCTTTCCTCTCAACGTAACGAAAGTCAGTTTACAATTGTCGCCTAAGGGTTTGATCAAGGTCTAACTTAGTCGAAGTAGATCTAACTCGAAGTGTTTGAGTTTGTCTGAGCGAACAGGGGTCAGGAAGTAGGAAGATTACGCATGTCATTGAATTTAGTCACCCGTCCTAGCCTGTTATAATAATATCCTGTCGACTGTCGTAAACCACGCAGAAAGGGGTCACCCAAAATTCGGAGGGAACGACTTCTTATCTAATTTACAACACATTCAGTTTTGACAAGAAGCACACACCGAATAAAGATCCAACTATCGGAAGTGAATTAGAATCCTCTATCATCTATCAGCACACTTTGTTCCGAGAAGCTCTAGAGATCTATACACCAGAATAATCCGGGAGACAACACATGGAAAGAAAAGCAAGAACACACCTCGAGATCTAGAATCTAGATCTAGACTCTATCTCTCCTCTGTGTCAACGGATGTGTGTTGTAAACTTGTTGCCGCTAGATCTACCGCCAACTGCCAACGGCTGTGATCGGGAAAACTACTGTGTGCGTGCGTGCGTAGCCTAGGCTAGTGCGTGTGTGTGCGGGGGTGTGCAACAAGTGTGTGTGTGTGTGACTCGGTGTGTGATAAAAACTGGTTCGTCGTCGCGGGCTATCCTGCCATTACGAAGGACGCGCTGTTGACGCTGTCGAGTGTCGCGCTGAGCGATTTTGTTTGCGTTTGTTGAGGAAACGATTCAAACGAAACTTCATCGATGCTTCGAAGCGTGAAGTCACTATTCGTGCTATTCGAATACCAAAGCGAAAGTTTCATATTTTAATTTGTAATTTGTAATTTGTAATTTTTTATTTTTTATTTATTTTTTTTTTTTGGGGGGGTGGGTGAATATACATTACTAAAATACATAAGTTCATGGACAACATTCGCCATGTCAGTATTCACTACTCATCGATATTCACTTACCGCTCCGTCTCCTAATCACTATAACTAAGGTATAATATAATTTTTTTTCTGTACAGGTACTTACCTCGATGATGGTAGACAACAGTCACAAAATCAGCTCAGATGGCCACTTGTCCAAGACAATCAATCACCTGTACAAACGATAATTTCCCGCTTCCCCTTTGCGGTTCTCTCCTCACCATACACCCCCCCCCCCCCCCCCCCCCCCGAGGGAGCTCTATTATACAATGCAACAGTTCAAGACATCAACTGGTCTAAGAAACACACCCACTTTTCTCCTCAACAATTAAATTGATGGTCGTCAGGGACAATATCGACAAAAATTTGCTCTGATCTTATATAACTGCAACGGGTTGAACAAAAAAAAAAACCCTCGAAAATCCCTGAAATGTTCACAAAAACCACGACATGGTATTCGAATGACTCTGTCATTATATTCAAATAGCTGTGAATAGCAGGTGAAAAGAATCGTGAACTTTGAATAGTAAAGCGAATTATAAACTGGGCATGCAGAGCGCACTATTTAGTAGGCTCGGCTTTGACCTATGTCGAATACTGTCGAATATTGTCGGATACCGTCGAAGTTCAAGTTCGGTGATCCGAAGGCGGGCAAGACTAGAGGACAAGGGGCACTCCTCAATCGTAAACTCCAAGGCTTGGCCTCTTAAACTTGTCCACAGTCGACCGACAGTCGGTGACTCGGTAAACCGCATGTTGTGGACCGGACCTTACTAGAGACGTGCTGTGGTGCGGTGTGATGTGCTGTGTGTTGTGGTGTGGTGGATGTCGAAAGTCTGAATAAACTGAGTGCGTCAGCTGTCAAACGTTAGTCTCTCGATCTCCTCACATAAATGGATTGCATTTATATAGCGCATATCCACTTATGCAATGCTCTATGCGCTTAACATGATACATATTATGGATTTACAAATTAATTTTAAAGGTACATTATAGTGTTACATACTCGTGCA